TAATGCTCCCGGGGAAACTCATTTCGAATTTTCCACATTTTTGTGAATGTCGTCATCACATTAGGAGCATTTTCCTCATTGTTATGAAACCATGGAGAGTGTTGTTCTTCCAAGCTAGATGAGTCCGTAGATGTATCATCCAATAGGTAAGGAGGGAGGCGTCGGTCTGGAGGGTAACGACGCGTGGGATGACTGGTTCGGGTCCAAGGTTGATGTGCCTGGCCACACTGGAGAAGGTGAATTCATCATTCCCCAGTATTATGAATGATGATGATGTCAGTGATCGTCCCCCCGGCTGATCCCTCTGAGGTCTACTCGATGACTCGTCATGATTCCCTTGTGGATGAGGGAGGAAGTCCGAAGAAGACGGAACGGCTTTGTAAAGTTTCGAAAGATTGATTTTACCCCATACCGGTGAGACCGGCGATTCGTCCCTTTGTCATTTTCGTCGAACACTTTGAGGTTTCCAACAATGTAATTTTGTGCTGTGACTAGTCTCCGTTCTACTTATGGGGTGGTGGGCGAGGGAGTGTCCTCCCACGAGGGGTTGTTGTAGACCAGTAGTAATCACACAACAACAGGAAGAGAGGTTGTATCTGGTAGTTCGCCGGGGACCAGTTTTGTATCCACGACTGATGAGCAGGTCGGAATGTGGAGCGGCTCGTCTCGGGTAACAAGGCCAAACTCACTTTTTCGTAGGAGTTACCCTCCCGGTTCTTTAGATGGCGCGTACTGTACATGCCCGTCAATTCGAGAGGGACGTCTCTTCTTACGTATAAATTTCCTTTCTATATTCCCTTTCGGAAATATATGTTTCCTTTCTTCAGCTGAGCTCAAGAGTTTCCTCGATAATTATACAGAATCACACAGGACTTGTGGGAGAAGTGTACAGAAACCAACAGTAATTTCACACAATCTCCTCAGAATTCACATGTTGTCATCAGCACATGTAGTTGGTCATATGCACACTTTCCCACACTGCCGAGAATGGAGTGTGTGTAACTCCATAGTACGTTCGCGCGAGGAGACGGCAACGTGGAGGCACAACATGATCTATTCGGTCGAGCAGAGATTCTAAGATGCCACCAGCTTGTGTATACCACTCCCATAGCACTGATGCAGATCCTCGTCCTGAATAAACTGTGCAAGGTCTCCCGAGGAGATTCGTCTTTTCTTCAATATCGATTGCTGTTTCCACCATCTCTGGGGGATTGCGTTATGAAAAGAGTTGAGTCAGCATGGACCATGTCGTTGATTTATCGTTGCAGATGACTTGTGTTGCTGTCAGTTTGTGTAGGAGAGTATTGTATTGTGGCGTACTCCGGTCGTGTTTACTGTTCTTGTATGGTGCGTGTTTATCCGTCGAGTTCCGATGAATATCCCACTCGGGAGGGAATTTCGGGGATGATCATGAAATGCTGGCACGTTGGGACAAAACTGTAGTCGCTACCCGGATTTGAACCGGGGTTGTCACGGCCACAACGTGACGTCCTAACCACTAGACGATAGCGACATGTGGGGTACTAGCGGACTGTTCGGTCAGAGTAGCATAATATTCTAGGGTGAATGTGAGCGAGCGGAGGATGTACTGCAACAAATGTCAGCTCGCGTTGTGCGTGCATCACACTCGCACACACGGTGCATGCGTGCGTGATGAATCATCTTGTAGTAACTACGGCGATTCTGAAGGCGAGTGAAGAATCACTAGATTCCTTAGCACTCGGATATGTGTAAGAGGTTACAAAAAGAGATAATAGTTGTCGAGAAGATCGAATTGTGAGCAACAAAAGCTCTTGAGTGACGCGCGAGCTCTCAGCGATGGGCGAGCGAGCTCCGCTCCTCCCGCACAATTAGCCCT